ATTCACACACTCCACGGTCAAATGCTATCATTTATACTTTCTGCTCATAAGGCGAAGACCGGAAAGAAACAACAACAACAAAAGAAACTACTGTACAAAATTACGGTTTCTGAATAAAAAACTTAATTTGAGTTTTGAAACATTGTACAAGTTATCTTTATTCATGTTCACCGATTAAAGTCTCTTGTATCTAACATCTTCATTGGAATTGGGAAAGTAATCTACATAATTGTACTTTTCTTCTGACCAAAATTTTCCCTCACCATTGCTTATTAGATGGATTAGAATGAAAAATAAAATACTTCTTACCTTATCTGCTATCTGCGTATCAACGATATATTCAATAATGTAACTTTTTTGTACATATCATGTAAATGTAAATTAAAACTAAACTAAAAGAGAAATATGATAAAATACGATAAATCAGTTAAAATCTACTAAAGTGAAGTGTTGTATTATATTATACAGAATAATGAAACAGAATAATCAAGACGGATTGCCTGAATATCCGACCTTATATTATATATACAAAGAACAGCTATAGAAAAAAGAAAAAGAACAAAGTCTGTTTCTTGTTCTGGATTTTTTCTATAGAGCTTTAACTACGTTAACTTATAACTGCGCTGCTACGGATCGAAAAATCGTCGGAATCGAGAAAGCAAGAATACGAAAGCCAGAATAAAAAACAGACACATGATTTACGTGGTTCACTAACACGATGTGTGTTAGCTACGTCCACGAGCAAGAGAGAGCCAGTTTCACTTTATCGAGGAGATTACATATTATAGAGGAGATGAAAAGTATTTATATTTCTCCATGTGGGTCTAAAACCTAATCCAATCTGGTAAAGGAAATGGTTACAAACCAGGCCCAAAACTGACAACCCAAACGTGTATCGACTCATACACCCCGTGATTTCCAGTCGTAGCGGCTGATAGTCCGATTCAAGTCACATCAACAAAATGTGAATCGATGAGCATGGAAACCCTAAAGTTAAGAAGCCTTTAATAGTCATAACGTCATTCAAGTCATGATCTACAACTATATTTAGTTGATTAGGAATGGTAAAGTCACATTTTATAGTGTTGCTAGTGATTTCATGTCTTGCCATTATAAAAGAAAATTCATGTCTTCCAGGCTAGGAAATTTTTCACTTTAATAAACGTTTTGGCCTTTGCTATGATGACTTGCAAGTCATCGTTATTGAAATAAAATGGATTAATATTGGTGTGAGTTGAACCATTATCAGAGAAAAATTCGGAACCTCGGGGATCATTCCTTTTTTTGCTAATATATGAAATATGGGATTTCAATAAGCGGATTTTGAGGAAATTACAAACCAGACCTTTTATACTTACTTCAACAAAAGAAGCGCGGGCTTCCTCGATAGAAGAACCTTTTTTGTTTTGGTCCCAATTCAACACTAAACAAGTCCGAACTAATTGAATACTTGTGTCCAAAATTCCCCGAATCGGTTTACCATTATCATTTCCATAAAGAATGTAATTGACAACTTGAAATTTCAGATTATCCTTTTCTTGCAATACATCCTGGGTGAAAAGTGGTTCTAAATTTATACCGTCCGCTATTTCATATATAATTACCGGTCGAACTAGAACAAAATATGACAAACGGTCGACCTATTTACTGGAATGGTCGACCATATATATTATTTTTCATTATGCAATGTTCAACAAACGGTCGACCTCTTCCACTAAAAGGTCGACCATTTACAAGAAAACGGTTTACCACTTCCACCAAACGGTCCACCGCTTTCAACAATCGATCAACAACCATTGTTAGTGATTCCATCATATATAATTAGAGTCCGATAATAATATATATGATTGCTAGGTCAACCATATGTATTATTTTTCATTATGCAATGTTCAACAAACGGTCGACCTCTTCCACTAAAAGGTCGACCATTTACAAGAAAACGGTTTACCACTTCCATCAAGCGGTCCATCGCTTTCAACAATCGATCAACAACCATTGTTAGTGATTCCATCATATATAATTAGAGTCCGATAATAATATATATGATTGCTAGGAAGAGAGTTAAAATTAGTACAAAAACTAGAGAATAGATGACAAGTTTCTTGAGTGATTGCTCTCCCGTTGATATGAAAAATGTTCTTCATATCTATTTCTTATATTTGACTTCTCTATGTTGACTTTTATCTTTCCTTCAAATTCTAAGTTTGTTTGTTTTTATCATATAGTTGTCTTGCGACGGACCAACTTTGTTACTATTGTTGTACTGAAGATGCTCAAAAAATAGAGTATAATTGTTATACAATTGTGTTATCTTCAAAGTCCATAAATCTCATATCATATTTCTCTTGTGGTTTTTTATTCCAAAAGTGTTAAAAGAGGGTGTTGTTTCTTTTGTCTTGGCCTATAATTTATGTAGGAATTTGGTTGCCACAAGTGATAGGATGTTGCATTACTACAAAACAATTTCGTATTGTAGGTCTCCTATTGTCCATTATTTTCTTAATTAATGAAAGTATAAGATAACTTTGTCCTTTGGGTGATCGTTTGCGAAAACAGAGATCGTTCGCCGGAAGAGGTAAGTAAACCATTTTGCAGAATCAGTATACTGTTTTGGCGGAAGCGGTCTACCTCCTCCAACAAACGGGTGTAAGTTGAAGATAAATGTATCATCAGGTCGATCCATTGTCGAAAGAGGTAGACTGGTTGTCGCAAGAGGTAGATCGCTTGGTGTAAATGGTTTCTTGAAAAGTTTTCAAATTGTCGACCTATTTTATCAAATGGTCGACCACGTCTCAAGAAAATGGTCTACCACTTCCACCAAGCAGTAGCCCATTTTCTTGAAAAGTGGTCGACCACTTGATGGAATAGGTCGACCACTTAAAAGTAAGTGTGTCATCAGACCGACCACTTGATGGAAGCGGTACACCATTTTCTTGTAAAGTGGTTGACCACTTAAAAAATAAGTTCGACCGTTTTCTCCAAATTACGGTAACTTGCAAATCACCATAGATATACCTTAACTTTTTATTTGCTATCTTGCTCATGCTTACTACTGTTACTGACTTAATCACTCCAAATCACCATAGGCATACCTTAACGTTTTATTTGCTAACTTGCACTCCGATATTTTTGTCTCAACTTTGAAGGATGTTAACACACATCTTGGAAACGTTGATTTTTTTTATGTGTGTGTTTCCAACTACATTTGCTTGCCATTTTGTAGTAACAACTAATGCAATTTTTGTACGGGAAGATTTAAAATTAGAGTTCAATCCGTTGAAACCTTAGAAATGGAATATGGAGGAAATGAAGGGCCGGTAGTTGAACCACCGGATCCCAGCTGCCCAACTACCGCCATTATCGATCGTACGAGATCAGAGCTGCCAGTGCCAGGGGATTAAGGCAACTAATCAATTAATTAAGTACAAGCGTGGGCACTTTCAGGTTAGTCTATCTACATTATACAACTAGATTAAGGAAACGAAAGAATTTATATATGGTATGATAGAGCAATGGGAATGACTAGGGAAAATGATATGTGACAGACACCATATATATATAACGCCATTTTTTGGCATCAAATTAAAGGAGTACCAATAATAAACCTGCTGCAGTGCAGCTATATATTCCGGCGGAAAGCAGTGGGCCGGTGTCTCCACCTTAATTATAAAAGAAGAGAACATGCATGCTCGGATATTATATATTCCGGCGGAAAGCAGTGGGCCGGTGTCTCCACCTTAATTATAAAAGAAGAGAACATGCATGCTCGGATATTGTCCTCCACGTAATGTAATCTTTTTTACTAAAAAGTAAAAATGTAATCTCTTCAACTTTTACTAAAATGTAATCTTTTTTTTTATCATCGTTTAAAATAAAATTATGTATTAACTAGCTCTCTCAATTTCATAGTCTCCATGAGATCATTTTCAATCGTTGTAATAACTAATTATATAAATTAAAACTTTCTTACGTAATTTTGTTAAACAAATATAATTATTGGCTCCCAATCACAACTTTAACAATCATTATACGTACATGCAATATATGTATGTCCATAAGAATATTTACTAACGACTAACAATAATATTAATTTATATAATTAAATTCATTATTATCAAACACAATCGATTAATTATATACCACTTTACACCACAAATACAATCTACAATATATAATCAAATTAACCACTAGATGTCTACATCTAACTGGAATCCCCTTAATATTTGGAGGCTCTGCGCCCGGAGAGCCTCCCAACACACCTCACACTACAGGAAAATACACTTTTGCCTAGAGTAAAAACGGTAGTTAATAGTCACAAAACGGTAGTTAATACTTTTAGCTACGGTCAAAATACAGTGGTTAACTTGGCCGTGGGTAAAAGTCAAAACGGTAGTTAAAAGTGATTATTTACTACGGTTTCATACTACGGTAGTTAAATGTATTGACTACGGTAAAAATACGGTAGTTATTAAGTTTTATTAACTACAGTTTTAACGGTAGTTAAAAGTTATTTCTAACCACCGGTCTTTTAACGGTAGGGAATGAGTAGACAATTAGCTAGGGTAAGTTACGGTAGTTGAAGAGTGAAACAGTAGGGAATGAGTTCACAATTAGCTAGGGTATTTACGGTAGTTAAAAAGTGAAACGGTGGGGAATGAGTTCACAATTAACTATTGTACTTACGGTAGCTAAAGGGTACAACGGTGGGGAATAAATATTTCGTCTATCATAAGCAGTCACTAAAATTGAAAACTATTGTCAACTACGCAAGTTTCTTTCATTTTCCAACATGTCAAACAACAACCTAAAGAAAACATTCGTAACAACTACTGATTTTATATAATCAGTAAACAATTCATATACAAATGCCAACTATGCAACTATTCTTGCTACTACTGTTAAGGAATTTGACATCCAAACATTCTTTCTAACTAATAGTTTTGAATGAAATTCACACATCTTGACTTCATGTACAAAAGGTTGTAAGTCAACCATCAAAAGCTATTCTTCTGTCAAGAATCAAAATCCATTATGCTTCAATCTCTAATATAATATAGTCATCTTAAACTTGAGGAAACAAACCTGCAAATTTAACAAGGAACATTAATTAGTATCATTTTGATTATAGTGTCACTTGAATATGCTTTGGTAGGGAGACAGGAAACATAAGAATTGATGGATAACAATTCTTTAGAAAAGAAGAAAGTTACATAATTAGCAAAAATCAGCAGCTAAGTTGTTGCGATAAACTGCAATTTTTCACCAACTTAATGGTGTCCCCTGCCATGTACAAGATGTGAAGCAAGCCTAGCATTTAAGCAAGTATAGATTCAACCCATCATCATATTGTCATTCTAATCCCAGCACATAGCAAATAACATCATATTCACTATAACATGGAAATACTTTGTTCAATCGACTTACCTCGTTTCATCATCCCACCAACATATACGATCTAAGTTGGTTTCTTTTTCTTTGACGATCGAGCACCCAACATTGCTGCCACTTGAACTTTAACTTGTTCCGCTATTTTAACTTCCATTTCCCCCATAACTTCAGCCCTAGTTTCAGTTCTCACTTCAGCCCTCATTTCAACCATCATTTGAGCATTCATTTCAGCTCTTTCTCTCTCTGCAGCCTCCCTATCTCTCTCTGCAGCCTCTCTATCTCTCTCTGTAGCCTCAAGCTCCTCTATACGCTTTCGCATAGCAACCTTCTCTTCTTCAGATTGGCGCAATCTAGCATCTAACCCCTTATCTTTTGAGCTACCAACCTTCAAGTCTTTAGGCTTCACAGCACCTCCAAAGCAAGTCATATGGCCATGATTTTGTTCTCCAAAACATTTGACTACCAAGTCATATTGACTAGAAGTTGGGGCATCTTCCATAGCTTTCTTAATTTGTTCCTATAAACATATATAATCACTTAATATGCTTCTTACACACTAAAATATAAACATTGGCAAACTTACATGTTTTTCTTTTGCTTCAGGATCTTTTATTGTCTCTCCTTGCTTATAAGAATGCTCAAAAACTTGCTCCAAAGTTGGATCTTGACCAAGTTTTTCCCTCTACAATAACAATATGTTTACCAAAACAAAACAAGTAACTAAACAATACTCTCTACGAAAACAGAGCAAGCTGCCCAAAGAATAAATAGAGCTTAACATGCACCTATATAACCAAAAGTTGGTCCCTTGTTGATCTCAACTATTTAATCTCCACGTTTACATTCAATCATCATATTACCTTCTACCAAAACATAGCATGCTGCCCAAAAAGTAACAGAATTGAACATGCACTTATGCACTTTTACATTCAATCATCATACTTCCTTCATTGATGTACAAAATAAGAAAAGATGCAGTAGGTGACTAAACAAAAGCAATAATAGCAGTACCAGATCGACTTTCACTTGTCGTGTTGGTTTGCTCCCGGTGTGATGATACAATCTTTTCTTTCCCCGATTGATTGTATTGGCAGCACTCGCTTTCTACAATACAATGAAAATCTATTACCACTTTAAGATGCAGCAAATGAGTGAAACATTCAATTGACAAGTAACACACCTTGTATTTCTGTCCTTTGAAAACATTTGTAACACACCATTCCCAATCTTCTTTGTTCATCATTGGTGGTACATTTCTAATTGCTTCTTCCACACTTTTGCAAGGTTTGACCCGCTCACAATTCATATCTGATCTCCAATCAGTCCAACGTTCTCTAATGTGGTCTAAGACATCTTCTTTATAAGAATCCATTTCAGGATGAGAGAAATATTCCTAAAGTAATACAAATTAAAATTATGAACTTAATGAAAATACTAAGAACTCCAAAACTACTAATTTGTATGCATTTATACACTAGTTACCTTCACAACAGCAAACATATGATCTTTTGCTATTTCACCAACATCATCCCAATCCAGAGACCTTATCGGACATATTGAAGGATTGCGAACTATTAGCCCGAGATAGCTTGCCCAAACTGATCGATTTGGCCCAACAACTCGCCTTTCCGCAAATGTTGATGTTATAGATAAACAAATCAACATCGAAAGAAAAACTGGAAGTTCATGAAAAAATTATAAGAGCTAAGCTTCAACATATCATAGGCTGAATCTGAAAGTAAGGATCGTAATTTCAAACAACAAAGAACGACTTAAATTGAAATTCAACAAGTAGGCTTACCAATAGACAAAGATGCAGAAGAAGCTCAGATTTTGGTTTAAGACTTCACAATGGTGTACTGGTTTTTCGATTATGGTTCTGCTTCCTTCAAACAAAGGGACATATAGCTTCCTTCTGCTGCCACTGTTACTTCTTTAGCTTCCTTCTGCTGCTGAGTTGCTGTTGTACACAGTAGTGAAATTAGATAAAATACTTCTTTGAATTACAAGTAAATTATACACCAACCAAGCCAAAGAGCCATCACATCACTCTTATCTTCTCTCAGTGTTGCACTTTGCCTTTCAAGGAAAGCTTATAAAGCTCGTATAACATATAATATAATGATGTATAACATTACAAAATAGGATTACAGAATTGCAAACAGACAACAATCGTCCATACCACCACCAAATCTCTCTTCTTCTCTCTTGGCCATACATTTCCCAAGAGAAAACAAAAAAACTATCCCCAAGAATGGCCAAAAAACCATTCCAATATTGTTACTCCAAATTCCAAATCTGTCTTGTTCTTTCTTTTTAACATATAATCATCAATGATGTATTATTATCAATTAAGAAACAAAAGAAACACAAAAAGTAAGAACACCAAGGATCTAGCTCTTTTGTGATACAAAGCATCAAAGACTATACTAATCGACCACCCTCCTAAGTCCATTGTCCAAATATGCTTTGTAGTCATAACAATGACACAATAATGTACCCATCATATTAAACTATACTTCAGCCTACCCTTCCAAACACAGCCATCTCTGACACGTGTGGATTCATGTCAAGCATATAGAAATTAGGATCACTTCAATATAAACAGGTAAAAACTCAAATTGACTTTTTAATTAACTATGCTATTACCTTTTGGATTTACTAAAAACTCCCAGAATTCATAGCAAATTAAAATTTGTTTCTAATTGTCCTGTAGCAAAAACTAATCAAGCATCCAACCACCAAGGCCTATTAACGACAACAAATTTGTTTCTCAGTACCCCATTAACATCACCAGGGCAACAAAAAATCAAAGCCGCAATAGAGCATCCCGTTTGTTCTATGGAACTGAATCAAATCTATAACCAACATCGCCTGCAAAATGAACTTACCGATGTGGCCGACGAGATGCAAAGGCGGCTAGTCGGACGGACAGTCTCCAGACTCCAATTGTCGACTGGCGAGTGAGAACAGTAGCAAGCCAAAGGAACTTCTCGCCTGCCGCTTTTGTTTCTCTCAGCTTCAGCTGCTGCCCCCAACGAATTTGCACTTACTAACCCATTTGGCGTTAGGTTTCAAAGCCTTCATACGCAGGGAGTGGAGGGGAAACCTACACAATCAGAAAACATCAACCCTAGGAGAATATATACGAACATCAATCAATGTGGAAACTAGATTTGAGCGAATAGAAATTGATGTTCAGAGATGGGACGGTCGTGAGTCTCTTACCGTTGGTCAAAAGGTGAATACGAAAATAGACGTACGGAGCCCAGTCGGCGTAGATGAAGGCAGGACAGTCGACGAAGATGGAGAGAAAGATGGGAACAGTCGACGGTAGTGGGGAGAGTAAAGACGAGGCCGAGTGGTCTGAAGAGATACTCGGTGGAGGGATTTGAGACGACCGGTGATGCCCAGCGAACGAGACAAATAGAGAACTACCGCCAGAGATAGATGAAGAGAGATCGAAAGGCGAAGTTTGGTAGGTGCGGCTGCGCGGGGAAGTGAGGACGATGTGAGGAGAGATGCGAAGATATTTTTTCTTGTTCTGAAAAAATGAGTGGCCAATTAAAATTGTGAAGAAAATAATTTAGTAAAGTAAAATTAAATGGCTACGGTACATTTCTTTATTGGTACCTCCAAGATTAACAGCTACCGTATTCATCCTCAATTCCTACCGTTTGTTAATACGGTAGTAATTAAGTCATTATTGACTACCGTTTTGGCCACGGTAGGTAATTTATATTTATTAACTACCGTATTCGATACGCTAGTCAAATAACGGTAGGTAGAAGTAGTATTTCTTGTAGTGTCATGGCCGTACCGCCTCATAGTATTAGTAAAGGCTGGAGAGTAAGGTCATGGAGAGTGAGGAACAAGAAGGGCGTAAAGTTTGGGATTCTGCATATCGATTTTTATAAGCAAATTACACCAGTTTTGCTGTAACTTTAATTAAGGTTGCTACTACATCTAAACAAACTGTACTCACCGTTGGTGAATGAACATGCACCGCATCGAGACTAATGAGAAGATGATGAGGTTATGGTCTTCTTACGGACAAAATCCGGTTCTGTATAAGCTCAATAATATAAGAATCCAGGCAAATAAATAAATAAAGCCACCAACTGTACCCCTCTGTGTCTTTGAGTTTACTGTCTGTTACTTAGGAATGAGAATGGGACAAATTCGGGTGGGATCATAATACCCATACTCGTAATTTATTATATGTCATGGGTCGGGCAGGTTGACCCAATAAGTATGTAAGTTATATGGAAAAATATTAGAAATACTCGTTAATTTCATTATAAGACCAAGAAAACAAACCATATTATGATAAATGTAGTTAAATTATTGGAAAAATTGAGGTTTTCACTAATTTACAACTTTATTATAATTAAAATATGATGTAATAAAACAAAATTTTAAGTAATTTGACAAAATTACATGTAATTTAGACAAGAAGGGGTCGAGAATGGAACGGGTCAGAATAGATCAGATCGATGAGAATACTCATGCCCGCCCGCCCCGCCCAAAACAGGCCAAACAGGTAATGTAAAAGGAGTGAGGTTGAAATTTACATCTCCCGTCATTGGCATAACCCTAGGAATGGCAATGGGGCAGGTCCGGGGCGGGTATCTCGATACCCATACCCGCCCCATGGTAGGTCGGGTCCAGGTTGGGTAATTTATCACGGGGCGCGGGTCGGGACAGGTCGACCCATTGGTATGTAATTTATGTGAATAACATTAGAAATATTCGATCTTTTCATTGAAAGACCAAGAAAGAAACCATAATATGATAAAATGTAGTTAAATTATTGAAGAAATTGAGGTTTTCATTTATTTACAACTTTATTATAGCTAAAATATAATGTAATAAGAGGAAAATCTTAAGTAATTTCACTAAAATTATATGTAATTTAGGCAAGAACGGGTCGAAAATGGGGCGGGTCAGGGCAGGTCGGGTCGATGAGAGGTACCCATGCCCGCCCCGCCCCAAAACAGGTCAAACAGATCGGGTAAATCGGGTCAGGTCGAAATTGCCATCCCTACATAACCCATTAGCTACTAAAACGGAGCAAATGGAGAGTCCCCATTATTGTTGTGTCTCCGTCCTGGCTTGTCTCCCTCAAGAGTCGAGTCTAAACCTTGTCTCCCCCCTCAAGAGTCAAGTCTAAACCCTCCAATCAATAACACCGCCAAAAGAAAGAATAACAATGAATGTATCTATCTGTATATGATTTGTCCAGTTAGCTTAATTAAAGATTAAGCTGTGATTATCGATGTACAGTTTGTTAGTTAACGAATGGCCCATTGAAGTCGAGAAGTCGCTACCAGACAACCACACGAACCCACGGAGGATAAGATTAAAGGATGGGAATGAGATAAGTAGGGGACCGGTTACTATAACAACACCCCTTGTGTTGTTATTGTAACAACACTAGTCTCCAACCAATAGGAAGCTAGGGTTGTGATGACTTTTTATTAGATGAGTTGACCTAGTGTAAAATCAAAGCAGGGGTATAATTGTCATAATGAAAAATCTATTTAAATAAAAAAAATAAAAAAAATAAAAAAATAAAAAAAAATAAAATATTTTTTTATTTTCTGCCCAAAATTTTGGTCGCCGGAATTCTGTCACCGGTCGTCGGAAAATGGTCGCCGGTCACCGGAATATGCTTTTTTGTCGCCGGAATATGCTATTCGTGGCCGGAATATGCTTACCGGCGTCGGAATATGCTTATCGGCGTCGGAATCTAGTCATCGGGGCCGGAATATGCTTATCGGCGCCGGAATCTAGTCATCGGGGCCGGAATATGCTTATCGGCGCCGGAATCTACTCACTGACGGTCATCGGAGTTTGGTCAACGGGTTTCGTTGACCGGTCAACGGTTTTCGTTGACCGGTCAACGGTCAACGACCATCGGATGTTATGGTCTGCATTGTGAGATTTATGGTTTGGTTTCTCATATTTTTGTATGTCTTTTGTGGTTTGCTTTATCGTGTTTGTGGTTTGCATTAAGAAGTTTCTGGTTTGCTTTATCGTGTTTGTGGTTTGCATTAGGAAGTTTCTGGTTTGCTTTCGAAAAATTTGTGGTTTGCATTGTGAGGTTTCTGGTTTGTTTTAATATATTTGTGGTTTGCATTAGGACGTTTATGGTTTGCTTTTGTGTGGTTTGATTTACTGTGTTTGTGGTTTGCATTAGGAGGTTTCCGGTGTGCTTTCGTAAATGTTGTGGTTTGCTTTGTGAGGTTTGTGGTTTGTTTTAGGAGATTTGTGGTATGCATTAGAAGGTTTCTGGTTTGCATTAAGAAGTTTATGGTGTGCTTTCGAAAATTTTATGGTTTGATTTGTGAGGTTTCTGGTTTGTTTTAATATATTTGTGGTCTGCATTAGGAGGTTTGTGGTTTGCTTTATCGTGTTTGTAGTTTGTATTATGAGATTTCTGGTGTGCTTTCGGAATATTTATGGTATGTTTTGTGGGGTTTTTGGTTTGTTTTAGGGGATTTGTGGTATGGATTGGGAGGTTTCTGGTACGCTGTTTTTTGTAGATTTTTGCAATTCAAAGCTATGGTTTGCAATTCAAAGTTAGGAAACCCCAACCCACCAAAATTTATTGGCGGGATCTCAAGCCCATACCTACCACAATCTTCAACTGTTAGTTCCTCCAATTCTCTCAGCTCTGGAAGATTAGCAACCGGAGAGGAAGTCAGTAGCACCTTCAAACTTGTGGGAAGCTTAGACCCCAACAGCAAATTCTCTCTACGCAATACAAATCGTCCCAGAGTATATTTCACGTCTACTCTCAAGACATCAAGAAACTGCAACTCCCCAATATCAGCAAGCACTTCTCTTGGATTCTTTTCACAATAAACATTTGTTAGTTCAAGCTCACAAAGTCCTTTCAACATCCCAATGGTTCCGCCCCTAATCTCCCTTACCTTACAACTCCGCAAGCGTAACTCTTTCAGGCTCCTCAAATTCCCAATATCCAGGTCCTTCGGAAACAATAAATTGCCGAAATGAAGAAGATGTAAAATCTCAGGTCCACAGCCGCCTGGTCTGGATCTGGCGAGCTTGGGCTCCGATGTTCACGGTCTTCGGCCGCGCCGGGTGGCGCCGCGCCGTCGAGAAGAGTCGGGGACCTGAGATCGAGGCGGAATCTAAAACGAGGCATATGGAATTTTACTCATTGTAGCAGTGCACCTACTTCCGTCTGTATCTGTCTCACTACTGCTAGATCTTAATGAAAGCAACAGGAATCCATTATCCAAAAAGCAAATCAACGGCGATACTTCATTCAACTGCATTGAGATTCACAATTAGCCTGAAGCCAGCAAGTAATCAAAAACACCGCCGGCAAGCAGCTCCGGCTGGATAACTGGAGACTGGCACCATTTGCCAGAATGACATCAGCTCCGGGCGACACATATGGCACTTAGCACAAAAAAAGCTCGGCCACCGACATATGCACGGAGATCTGAAATCGATGAGAGAATCAACCGCTCCGATCTGGCGGCGGAGGCGATCTGGCGAGTGGAGGAGAAGAAGATGCTTGTGCAGGAGTAAGAGGAGCCGGCAGCGGACGTAATTTCGTGGAGCGGAGCTGCGATCTCAGTCGGAGGAGGACGGAGCGAGAGGCCATCGTGCGACGGCGGCGGCGGAGATTTTGATTTTAGTGCCCGACTCCATCGCCCTTTCTCCTTCTCTTCTATCTCGACCAGCGGAGACCGGATTCACAGCCGGCGACGATGATATATGGCGAGATTTCCGACGGGAGCGGCGACTGACGAAGGCTGGAAGCGGCGGAGTGATGATGGCGGTCGAGAAGTTAAGAGTGCGACGGCGGAGATGCGCGAGGATGGCGACTCAGCAGCGAAGGCGGGTTCCGATGCTCCTTCTTGTCCATAATTATCTTTCTGTTAATTTAATATATTATTATCTAATAATTAATGGTATTTTACCCTTATACCCTTAATGAATCCTGTTGTTAGTATAACAACACTATGGGTGTTGTTATACTATCCGGACCCGATAAGTAGAGAGCATTAAGTACTGTAGTGGGAGAAAAGACTGGATAAGGCCTGGATTGGATCTGGATGCATGTATTTATATTGCGGCAGATTGAGGTAACTAATGAATCCCTTCATCTTTTGCTGATAAAAATAAAAGAGATGAAGATGACAGGACAACGACTCTTATATTCATTCCCATGCATATGCTCCTTTGCATCGAGCTTCACGTGCCCGCCCCTTCTTCCCCTGCTTTGGTTCTAATGCCTTGAGAGTTGAGACCCATATCCAAAACCAAAAGACATCATGAAGGAAAAAGACAGCAGAAGAGCGACCTTATTCATGCAACTTACACTTATTCTCACAGTTCAAAAGGTTTGCATATATAGGGTTATCCCCAATATAGTACAAATACATCGACACAGAACATTATGGATTGAACTAGCAGCCAGTAAGGTAATAGTCTCAGTGATTAAAGCGTTAACACGTTGGACACAGCTAAGAAAGGTCTCTTGAATAAACCTAAGAAAGGTTTTAGGGTTGAAACCAGTAAAACTAACGCCCCATCAAAAGCCATTCTTTCCCTTCGCTTCTAATCCTTTTATCAGAAAAAGAATAAGCAGAGAATGAATGACGGGGTACATACTGCTTCAACAGCAGCTTAAGACCTCCGCCCGCAACGGTCACAGGTAGTTGACGCATGATGGTGAGACTCATGCGCGTTCTTCGTCTCTGCTTTCTCCTTCCTCAACTCTGGTAGATCAACTTCCAGCACCTGATGAAGCGCCTTTGTCGCTTCCTTCACCTCATCCGAACTGCCAGTTGCAAAAAAAAATGTGAACCATACAAAAATGTTATATATCAAGGGTCATTCATATTCACAACCATTCAACACACACTACAAAAATAATCCTTTCTGCTGCTCTAACCAAACATATATGATCTTCCCTGTATTCCTGTGCGCGGATTAGAGAAGTGGTGTTTTGGATATTAGATTTTTTACCTTATGCAGAGAGGAGGGGTTAAGCGGACAATGGTGTCATGAGTTGGCTTAGCAAGCACTCCTCTCTCCTTCAACTTGAGGCATAGATCGTATGCAGAGGCCGGGCTCAAGGCCTTGCTGTTGAATTCGACTGCATTGAACAAACCCCTTCCTCTAACTTCCTTGATGTAGTCTGGAAAATGCTCCTGAATCTTACGTAGCTGACTCCTGAGTTCCTCCCCCACTTGGGCTGACCTTTCAGCAAGCCCTTCTTCTCTAAGCACATCTAGCGAGGCAATTGCAACAGCACTTGCCAAAGGATTTCCACCGAATGTGCTGCGAATAAAACCACATTCAAAAGTTTATGCTGATTATAATAAACAAACAAGTATAAAACGTGTATCAGAGACAATGACAAACCTTCCATGTTCACCAGGCTGAATGCAGAGCATTACATCTCTATCTGCAAGCACCGCACTCACGGGTATCACTCCGCCACCCAATGCCTTGCCGAGTATCTGAAGCACATAACCACCAATAAACTGGTTAGAAACCAACAAGAAACATTGAAAATGTCCAATTCTAAACACCTTCAACATTAAATTTTACCATGTATCCTAACCAACAAAATTAGAGAAATTAGGTACGAAGCACGAGATTGAGATTGGCTGATTATTTCCTAAGTAACTTGATGCCAACTTGATTAGAACTTGAAATATTTGGATGCACCTTGAAAATCAGAAGAAGGGGAGCAACCAAGAGGGGAAATCAGCTTACCACTATGTCTGGACGAACTTCTTCCCAATCACAAGCTAGCATCCTTCCACTTCGTGCTAAGCCAGATTGCACCTCGTCAGCCATCATTAGGACATTATGTTTTGAGCAGAGATCTCTAACGGATTTTAAGTAACCATCTGGAGGAATTACAACCTAGTAACCAAAACAAAAAAAAAAAAAAGGTATAAAAATGTTTACCAATTAGTAGAACTACAAACTTTCAAGCATTCACAATTCACTTGAGTTTCTCTGGCATACTGAAGTGACAATTTTTCCAGTAAATCATTCTTATGATAGGGAGAAACCATGTAAAGCTAGAGACATGGTTAATATTATGGTATTCATGACCAACTTCTGAAAGACATCACCATGCACAAGCCAAGTATATCAGGCTATATGGTAGAGTAATCAAGGTGCGATTTACAAAACACATACCCCAGCCTCTCCTTGAATGGGTTCGAAAAGAAATCCCGCTATCTTATCTCCCTTTTCTGCATGAAGACACGAGATCAAGTCATGAATTCACTTCTAAGATAATGGTACCATGCAAATCCAAGTGTTAGGACATTGAAAGTGAAAATAATTGTGAAAACTTCAAACCTTTAAATAAGTTCTCAAGAGCAACTATGTCACCAAAATCGACCTTAAGGTGGCCTGGTAACAGTGGTCCAAAACCACGAGTAGCCTCATTGTCACAGCTCATGGAGATGACACCCAATGTACGGCCGTGGAAGCACCCGCAACAAGACACAATAATGGCCTGCATCGAACACATTAACATAATTAGAGATGAGATAATAAAGTCAATAAGCACACTAGACTACCTAATCATCACCAGTTTTCATATTAACTGGGATTTCAAAATTAGACCATGAATCATAACCCTCTTTATCGAGGAGTCACTTTGAAATGCCCAACACGACATGAATTATCCATGAACATACAAACTCAGACAATTATTACATATATGAAAGTTCACCACCTCATCTTTGGGAATCTTTTTCTTCTCATATCCCCATTTCCTTGCCAGTTTCAAAGCCGTTTCGACTCCCTCAGCACCAGTGTTCATGGGAAGCACCATATCATAGCCAAACATGCTTGTTATGCTCTCTGCAAATACTGGGAATTTGTCATTGTAGAAGGCCCTAGAGCTCAGAGTCAGATTTTCTGCCTGGTCCTTCAACGCCTTCATGATCTTGGGATGACAATGTCCCTACAACTCCAATATACACAGGTTCAGTAACCGCAATCCCAAAGATTCCAATAAAGCATATACATTTACAAGGCACAATAGGTTACCTGATTAACTGCAGAGTAAGCAGCAAGAAAATCTAAATACTTTTTGCCTTCAGGATCCCAAATAGACGACCCCTTTGCTTGAGAGAAGACAATTGGAACTGGGTGGTAACTGCAATTCAACCCGGAGGCCTAAATTACTAGGATGAAGAGATAAGTAACAAATAAACAGAACACACCACATATACGATGAACTTTGCCAAACGAAACCAGAAGACAACTTAAACAAAAACATTTTCATCACTTAAGAAATCAGTCTGGGTTCTGCTGCTCTCAAGCCTGGCATGGCAGCCTAAAGAGAGCAGCTTCTTCACTGCCGCCCCCATAGAATACATCACAGGCAAACCATATCGCAAAACAGAGGAGAAATGAACCCAGCTGAAATCAAAGGCAATCATGTGCAGACAACACCATGAAATGATGTAAAAGAAAGCGGGGATCGAAAGAGGGGGCAACGTGGACTGACTTGTGGGCGCTGCACTCATACTCCAGGTTGATGAGTTGATCAGAGGAGGCGGCGGGTCGTCGTTGGGGGACAGCGCTGCCGTAACTTCCCATGGTAGCGGCGGATCGCGTGGCGGAGTACCTGAGTAAAGCTCGAGTGAGAAATGTCTGACAAGGTCTCCTGGTTGCCGCTGCCATAATTCGGATTGGTGAGGGACCTGCGGGGAGTATTTATGGCTACTGGGTGCAGGGGATGTTCAGACGGAGGCCTGGGAGTGACGAACAAGACAGAAATTTGTGAACTTTGGGGAGGTCGAGTGGGTAAGCTATGGCTTTGCCTTTTACACAGTGGGAATGGAGTTCTAAGTAGTGCGGGATTAAAAAACTCTCTCGCCTGCCGTCGGATTTACGAATCGGAAATGGAGATTGACGATGAGAGAGAGGGGCGGCGGTGGTGGAAGTGGAGTGGCCAGTCGGGTTCTTTTGTTTCATTTGGCAGCTGAGCAGCAAGGGAATGTCGTTTTGCGGCGCGCCGGTCAGAAGGCGACACTCATCTCTATGTAATACTGTTATCCTGATCAGCAATAGAACAGATAAATTATTGAAGTAACGGAGCCACTATGTAAAGTAAACCCCATCATGAATCCACCCCCATTCAATCTGAATGGGAGAGTTGAAGCGATTACTCTCATCATTTTGCATTGTTGCGTTATCTTATCGACTAAGCTGGCCATATCCAGCCTGCCATGACCTTACACCTTATGTTCCTCTATCAAGCATTCATATACCTGCATTTCTTGATGAGCAAACTTGACGATGTTCCTTTTACACTTTACTTTGACATGGTTTCTTTGTTAAGTTATCGAGGGGCCGTTTATCAGACAATCATCAAAACAGAGAATACCAATTGCCTCATTATCTGAATCGATCAAACTTGTTTTTAGCACCAGACCAATGAGTTTGACAAGATCCAATCACAAGATTGCGGAACCATAAGAAGGCATAGAGATCATTCATCTTGCTAGTACAATAACCCCCCACCTGCTTTAGGTACAAATTTATCCACTACCAGTACAACAACAATCTCATTGTCAATCCGAAACAAAAATCCCTGAGACGACATCAGGAATACAAAAAACTCTTATCTGAATCAAAAACACCTTATATCAAACTACTATACACATCCATCATGTTAAGTGGACTGCTGCAACTGACAGTATGAAGTATAAAGAGCAGTGAAACTCAGACGCCAGCAACTCAATGATGTCAACGGACACCTTAGAATACGTTTGAGATACAGAACCAACTGTAGCTTCTAGAAACATCTACCCATATCCGAGGACATATCTACGGACTAAAACCAACGCACATTTGAGGAGCTCATCTCTTGCTCATAAATGGAACTGGAAATAGGTCATACTATCTGACATACTTCACTATCCGAAACAGTCTAAGCCAACTGGAACTAGATTAAGCAGCACCACTTAAAGTGATTGAAATCAGTGAAAAAAATAGAGGTTCTTGATGTTCAAAAGGAACACAGAGACCTGAACTGCAATGACAACAAGCTACACATAAAAAGTCCTAGAAGATGATTTTAGATCCCGGAAAAACCGGAGTCTTTTTAACTCCATAATGGCTTGCTCAGAGGAAACGATTATGCATTTGAGTAGCATTTTGTAATGTCATGGAAAAAACCACAGAGAAACTAAGTACAAACAAGAGATGAGTAGTGAAGCAGGGAAAGAAACGCTAAGCTTCACTATTATACTGGCAAAAGGTAGAAGAAGCAACTACTGGGTGTAGAATGTTTCAGATCAGAGCATTGTGTATGCAGAAAGGTTGACTACGTTTTGTGAAACTCTTAATGCTCGAGAGGGTAAAGGTCTCATGATGCCTATTCAAACTATGATATTTAGGTTTCATTCAGTCGAATGAACCAAGACTGCAAGCAAAGAGAGTTAGATGTAACAATCAGGTAATCTAATGCCAAGACCGGCCACGTAAAATACGGAAAAAACATCATCCCCTAGAAGGCAATTAACTGTACTCTACTTACCAATGACCGTCTATATCAACTGATTGTGCAAATAAATACCAAGAAATCCAGGCCTCATTCCTAAACCAAGGACCCATGAACTCGTATCAAGTTAGAGAAAACTAAACTGTTTGTTGAAACTCGAAACCTTAGGTGCCATTCTTTGAGCAGCAGAAAGCGTGCTGAGGACAGACGAGTTAAATGACAGACAAAACTATTACAGTCATTCTTTCAGCAGCAGCTCCGGGTATTAAAGAAGTAAGCTCTAATGGAAGATTAAGATGAAACCCCTGCGATTCAGAAAGAGGGGGCTCAGAACCTTTAATGCCACAGACCTTTGGTCTTTAGATGAACAATTTGAAGACACAGGACTGGGTAGCAACAAGAGAAAACAACAAGTCTGAGATCAGACGAAGAATGAAGCGTGCAGCCTCATATTCAAACAGAAGACGGCATTGCCATTTGAACCACCAATGATGATCAAAGAAATCAAAGCTACAAAATGGAAAACTATAATATAAGCATGCGGCACCAAGTGATTCAATAGCAACACATTTTGTCGTAGCAAGAGATTTTTCCAACAGGAAATAGAGGGCAAGAGATTGTATGACGACGGAGATCACACGAGTCCCGAGTCCAGCAAGAAGGATTATGTGAAACCTTTCTCGAACGTGATTGCAAAACAGAATATGAACATAGTTGGAAATGAGATGGGCCCATAGCAGTAAATGATAAGATACGCAAAAGCCAAACGTAAAAGAAAGAAAGATCCTATGGAGTTCTAAGATTGGATGGTTTTTAAAGAGCAACAAAGGAAACCTATATCAAAGAGTTCTAAGCCAGCAGTGAACCTTCAACCATTATCTTGACAGGCTCCATGGAACTGGAAGAGACTCTGATCGCTGAGGCCTAGAATTTGAGCAGTCACCGGAAGGAAAACCTAACAGATCTAAGAAGATGTTCGGAGAGAAGAGACTTCAAGAACTACACATCCGCAATAAACTAGGTAGCCATTATAAATGCCTGGATTAAATTTTCAGCTGCAAGTTGCTGCTCTGGTGTGCCAGATATATGTGCAATACGGTCACCCCTAGAACCCTTGGATTCAGAAATTTCAATCATTGCTCCTGATATCTGCAAAACACAAACACTGAAGCATCAAAACCAAATCCCAAATTGAAGAACCAACAAAATACACTTGTTTATGTGCGATAAAACATCATGCTTGAAAATGAGAACTCAGGACTGACTTCCTTATTCTTAATGCACATATTCCAGCTGTCAGAGAAGATTGACAAACATGCAAAGCAGAAACCACAATGAGGTTTACAATCCACCATACACGTGGTATTGGAGAATTTTCACATCATACAATTGAGGAATTTACTATAAAGAGAGGATAAGCCAACGTAGCACATAAGGGAACCCAAAGTGTGAGCATACAAAAGCTTAGGTAAAGAATAAATTTCAAAATAATAAGAGAAATATAAAGATGAACCTTTCGAATGTTGGCAATGTTTGCCCCTCCTTTGCCCAAAACTCTCCCTACAGCATTGGCAGGCACCAACATCTCACGAGTTGGGGGTGGAGGAAACCCTCCATATAGCTTGGATGAAGAATACGAGGACATGGTCCCGTAGCCATTTTCCCCAATCTGGAAAACATTCAGCTGATTATGAACCAAATCTCAGCTGAAGGAAGAAAGCAAGTACACGCAGTTCAAAAAGCATATGATATGACTGTAACCGCTACACCACAACCATAAAGGGTATGAGATACTTTTAGCATTATGGTAAACTTTTAAAAGAGTGTTTGTCTCAGCTTTTAAGTCAACTTCCCACAACAAGCAAACCCTAACAGTCCTCCATCAATGATGTGCTGGCCCACAATTGTATTCGACAATATAAATGAGAAGACACAGTAATACTAAAGAATGACAGAAGGGAGCTTTGCTGAAAATAGAAACAACATACAGGCAAAGATCCATATCCGTGAAGGCTGTTGGAGGGAAGCAAACCCAAACTATTTCCAGCTTCACCCCTTCGATCAAATCCCAATGGAGTAATAGGAGGCATAGTAGGAAAGAGAGAAGTAACCGGAAGCCCAGGAGCTCCTGGGTATAACGAATCAGCAGCAGAACTGTGACCACTGTCCCTGTCTTTCAATGCATCATCTCTAAGCCTTAGAACAATCTGAACAAGTGCGTCCCTAACACAGGCAACTTCCCCTAGCAACTGTATAGGATTTATTACGTCAACCAAACGATGATTTGTTGTGAAAAATAAATGTAAATTACAATTAGAAAATAGCAGTAGTTTAGTAAGCCAACCTCAACAAGTTCATCATTAGCCTCCGCACATTTTGGCTTATCACCTTTTGAGATACGGATATCTGCATTAGTTCTCTTCCGGATTTCACTGATGATTGAACCACTTTTCCCAATAATACATCCTATAACTCTGGAAGGGATAAGTAGCCTCATATTAACAGTATCCACATCCTCGTCACTAATTTTTCCTTGGAGCAATAGAACTGCTTCGACAGCCATGGATTTCAAGTCATCAGGTGACTGCAAAATCATGGATAAGTCACACAATGATGAGATTCATAACCTTGATCTAGTAACAAGGTAGTCCATGATGAAAAGCTTCTTGATCTCATGATGGTAAAAGACATGATGAAAACAAAGAAACGCTTACAAAGTAAAAGTTGGAAGATTTCAGAGCAGGAAAAAGGACACGGAGTAGTATGTACTCCTTTACACAGTTAAAAGCTCCTCAGCGATTTAATAGAGCTGGACATTCCAATTGCTAGTAGCATATACAGTCAGAAAAAGGTTTAATGAGATCCAACAAGACCTAAACAGCAGTACAGTACACATGACATCTTCTAACTTAACGTGATGCACAGAAAACGCTCTGCGTTCTTTTCTTCTTCCATAGTTAGTTTCAGTTCAGAATTATATATATGACACCACAAAGAGGGGAAAACAAACGGTACCTATGCAAGTAGCAACTCAGCAGATTACAAATGAGTAACAGGAACATACCTCCACTGCAATGACTGTAACAAGACACTCATCGCGGTCAACCTTGGTATCATCAACCTCAATTCTAGCACCACTGGCCTGCCTTATGCTTTTAATGGTCGCACCACCCTTGCCAATGACACGTCCAATCTTGCTGAAAGGGCACAACACCCGCACAATTAACTCTTCTGATTGAGGAGGACCAGACTGCAAAGTAGCTAGTCCAGGTAGGTTGGATGAATAGACAGGCCATGAACCACTTGGATCGCCATAACCTTGAAGTTCCGGTACGTGTGCAGAACCTAAGATGGGTGGAATGGATCTAGGAGGGCCAATAGAATCTGCATTTGGATATAGTCCAAGTGGAGGATGATATATGGGGACATCTGATGGTATTATGATGCTTGGAGGAACGTCCGGTACTGTTGTTTCCAGAGGAACTGCTTCTTTGGGACCAAACTTAAACATGATTGCAGAAACAGCAAATAGAGCTCTCTTCACCGACTCTGGTTCACCGGATATCTGTTGAGTGAAAAGGAAAAGGCACCTAGTTACTACTGGTAGAAGACACGTCTAATACAGAATATACTAAAGCAAAAAGCCACAGTAGAACAACTACAACCACAAACAAGGGACAGTTATAAGAAAATCCCTGAAGTGGTAGGACAGGAAGGCAGTTGGACTAATTTTTCAATTGCTAGATGACAATATCAGAAAGTTCAGACAAAACTCCCATAGGTGCCTCGCAGGAAAAATGAACAATAACTAAACTGACAAGCTACATGCCTGATACGAACTTTCAAACTCGATATGGCATTCCAAAACAAAAGAAAGCAGTTTCATAATGGTCTGTAAATTGAATGCTTAAATGTGCTTCCTCGATATGTAAAAGAGAAGAATAGCATACCGGAGTATCTTACAGATTCACAGCTGCACTGAGTTAGCACAACATAAATGAGAATAATACAAACCACACCACACCAACACATCATAAACGCTTTACAGTTTCATCACTTACTAAAACCAGTTCGCAGATAAGATAGCCAGTGAGGCTCTCCACCAGAGAGACAATAATAGCTAATAAAATCGACACACCCCTTATCATGAGATATGGAACCTATCTGTAGATGCAGCAAGTATGCATGCCAAACAGCTCAAGCTTCCATAGGAAAACAGAAGAAATCGACCTTTTAGATTTTGACAAGGAAATTCCTCACGAGAAACCTTGGCAAAGGTAGAGCTATTGCAGTTTTAGATACTATCCAGAAGAGAAGTTTCCGTGTACTAACCAGTAAAAAGTTGTCAAAGTCCATAGCACAAGCATGAGTAGGATCAGAAACGTCCTTGGCATTAATTTTAATGCTAGCCCTCGTTTTGCTTCTCAATTTTTTTATAGTCATCCCAGATTTACCAATGATATTCGCCGACTGGCTGGAAGGAACAAGGATTTCACATTCCTCCTTGTCTGTTCTCTTGCTATTATCAGAGTCTGCAGCAGCTGCAATTGCATTACGGATGGCAGCATGAACTTTAAGTAGAGCGTCCTGAGCACCACACAAGGGTGTAATAGTACTACTACTATATTCCTCATCAATGTCAACATCATCCTTTGACTTGACATAGCAATAGATGGTTATAACCCTACCCTTGGCCCCTGGAAATGGATCCACCACCTTGACTTTGGCTCTTGTTTCTTGCCGTATTGAGTTTATCACTTTCCCGTTTTTACCAATGACGCTTCCAATAACCTCATCTGGGCATATTATTCTGTATACAACCAGTTCATCGTTATTCCTTTCATCCTTGTCATTTAATCGTTTCTTGTGATTCTTCTTGTTGTCCTCGTCATACTCTCTTCGCTGTCGTGGTCGCTTGCCGCTCTCCCCCATTGATGGTACAACAGTTCTCACCTGGAAGTAATACACAAAAGATCAAACATTTAAGATAAAGAATCCATCTTTGACCAGTGGTATGCACAACAAAAGTGTCAGAACATGCAATTCACCGTAGTATTAGCAAAATCAAACTAGCTGAACAGCATAGGGTACATGGATTCCCCAAGCCAATTTAAGCTAGCACAGCACGAAACGGAGCGTTACGCAAGAAAAGACCATGATCAAGAATCCGATACGGAACCATCAAAACGAAAGATGGCAAGCCCAGAACACCCAATCAATTTCTCCGCTTAAAGTTCAATAATTTGAGTCAATCCGACGACCAATCTTCGCTTGCCATTGCCAATTCGCTCAACGAAGGTCGATGGTTGATAAATTCGATGGAACCCCGCAAGAGAAAACAGAGAATTGGGATTTCATAGTTCGCGACGAAAGAGTACAGAGTAAGCAGGTGAGAACGGAAAACAATGGCTTACCTGTGGTTTAAGAAGAGAGGAAAAGCCCTAAAGAGAGTGATGAAACAGAGAGGGAGACGCAGACGCAGAAGGTGTTAGGGACAGCGGAAAACGGATATATGATTTTTGCTCCCCGCACGCAAGTCAAATCATCATCATGGGACGCAGAGTACTCTGCTTCGAGGTTAGGTTTCCATTCATTCTTTGTTCTTGTCGGGCGAGAACCCACTTGGTTTTATCTCCTCTTACGAGTTACGCCTTGGGATAAGTACCTGGCGTTGGGTAAATTACGAAGTTGGTCCCGATATTTTTTTTATTATCCATTAGATTTTTTATTTTTTATAATTTTACTACGACCTAGATGAATATTCCAAAGAACATCACACAAGACTCAAGATATCGCTTTGAACCACTCCTTCGATATCGCGATGGGTGTCGTCGTCGGCGAGGCCACCCAAGGCTCCATCGTCGACGGCCGCCCTTGGACCTCTCTCTTCGAGTACGTGGAGCCTATTCTGGTGGATGGTATTCTTCAGATCCCTCAATTTGTATGTGACGAAGGAGCGAAAAGGTGGGAAAACAACTTTGTGGGACAATTCCTGGGGAAACCTCCTCCGTTGTGGGCAATCCGTAGCTGAACGAATCGTTTTTGGGGTCGAGATGCGTAGGTACATGTATCTTGGTTATGTGACCAATTAGTTCTCTTTCAATTACCTTCCGAAGCTGCGTGCAACTGGGTATTTGAAGGAGGACCTTGGCACTTGCGAGATAACATGTTATTTCTCCGCCGATGAAAAGTGGGGATTCGAGCCCTAGAATTGGATAATAAGGCGCTTCCAATCTCGGTTAAGCTGATTGATTTTCCATTGGAATTGTTGTCGAATGATGGATTAGGAAGAGAGGCAAGCTTAATTGGGAAACCACTTTGTATGGATCAACGCAAGGGTTTAAAGTTAGGGTATGCAAAAATCTGTGTGGAGGTAGAGGCTGCTGCAAAGTTGATTGACCAAGTTAGGTTTGCTGTTGGAGGTGGTCGGGTTTTTACAATCAAGCTTGAGTATTGTCACTTTCTAACTCGGTGTCAAGCGTGCAGAGTATTTGGGCATGATTGTGATAGCCCCGTTGGAGAGGTAAAAAGGACATGGCAGAGGAAGGAGCCGAATATTGTGCAAATCCCAGATACTGCTGGTGTTGTTGAACTAGGTCAGGATGGGGGTAAAGGCAAAGAGATTCTCTCAAGCCCCCAATCTCCCACTTGTCCTGGTTAATGGTGCTAGTACTTATTCCCCTCCTATTACTCTCCAAGAGGCCCCTCCAGTGGACAAAATACCTAAGCTGAAGATATGGAAGGATTTACCAGATGTACCTCAGCTGGATTTTTTGTCTACAGATAAGGGAAGAGATGTCATTTACAGCCTTTGATGAAAGGTCAGAAGAAAGGAGTTAATGGTGGTCAATGTGGTAAGGGTAGGGGTGATAAGCCCCATCCTTCAAGATGAATTGCCTCATTTGGAACTCGAGGGTTTTAATAACCCCTCCAAGCACACTTCTGTGCCTGATTATTTAGGTAGGTACAAGGTGGAGTTTGGTGCTATTCTAGAAACTCGTGTTCAAGTTAGTAAATTAGCTGAGATCATTGCAAAATTTGTTGATTATGAGATTTTGCCAAATTATAATCATGCACCCTTAGGGAGAATTTGGTTTTTTTGGAGAAAAAGGCTGCACGTGGTGAAAATTAGTGATGGGGCTGATTTTATGCATATGTTAGTACGAGCAAATAATAGGAATAGCTTCTTCTTTACAACAATATGGCTCTAATGAGGAAAAGGAGCGGGCTACAATGTATTCTTCTCTCTCCCTGTTTGTTGTTCGTGATTTTCCTTAATTGGTAGCAGGAGACTTCAACGCTATATTGAATTCAAATGAAGCTTTTAACTCAGTGGGTATAAATTCCAGCATGGTTGACTTTAGAAATTGGATTCACAATATGGAGCTAGATGACCATAGATTTTCTGGTCCTTGGTTTTCATGGACTAACAAGCAGGTAGCAAATCCCATTGCCAAAAAGCTAGACAGGGTATTAGTCAACTCAGATTGGTATTCTTCTTTCCCCTCTTGTGTAGTGGATTTCCTTCCTCCTGACTTTTCAAATCACTGTGGTATGCTTGTCAAGCCAATCCTTCCTACAAAATCCTTTCCAAAGCCTTTTCGCTTCTTTGACATGTGGGTTACACATCCCTCTTATATGGACCTTATGAAGAAAACATGGACTAAAACAGCAGAGGGATCGAAGCTATACACTTTGAAGATGAAGTAGTTATCTGCCAACCAGGAGCTTAAGAAGTTAAATAAAGAGAATTTTGCTGATATCAGTGGTAAAGTTAAAGAGACAGAATATGTGTATATATATGTGTATAGACAAGCTCAAATAACTTTTTTGACTGCACCTTCTGAAGCAAATTTTGCTCTGGAACAGAGTCTAGCTACTGAATTATTTCAACTAAAGAAAGCAGAAGAGAGTTTTTTCAGGCAGAAATCCAGAGTGCAATGGCTTTCTCTAGGTGATTCAAATACAATTTTTTCCATCTGCCTATGAAAATTCGTCAACCAAGGAAAATGATTCAGCAACTAACACTGGATTCTGGTGAAGTGCTAGATAATATTGAGAGCATTGCTGAGGAAGCTGTACAGTTTTATAAGAAGTTATATGGGTTTGTTAATCCCGAGATTCAACCTGATCTGGCTCTTCTTTCCTCTCTGATTAACAAGAAATTAACAACAGCAAAGGGTGAAGGATTATGTTCTCCAGTCTCAGCTGCTGAAGTTAAAACAATCTTATTCTCAATGAAGCCTTACAAAGCACCTGGCCCTGATGGTTGGTCCCCGGGATTTTATCAGAAGACATGGATGTAGTTGGGGAGGATGTCACAACTGATGTCTTAGATTTCTTTGCTACAGGGATCATCCCTAAAGATTTGAACTCTGCTTCTCTCACCCTAGTCCCTAAGGTCCAGAATGCTTGTCGCATGACTGAATATAGACCAATAGCATGCATTAATGTGGTATACAAGATCATCTCCAAAGTTCTAGCAAATCGATTGCAAGTTGTTCTTCCTAGACTTATTAGCATAAACCAATCATCTTTTATAAGAGGTCGCAACATCACTGAAAATATCTTGATGGCTCAAGAAATGGTTTCCAAATATCACCATAAGAATATTAGTTCTAGCCTTCTAGGTATGTAGTCAAGGTAGATCTTATAAAAGCCTTCGACTCTGTACACTGAGGCTTTTTATTCCATGTTATTGAAGCAATGAATTTTCTAGAATTTTCATAGATAGGATCAGAGTTTGCTTATCCTCGGCATATTTCAGTATAAGTGTGAATGGAGGGCTTTGTGGTTTAACCCAGCTTGCAAAGGGGTGAGACAGGGCGACCCTCTGTCACCCTATCTTTTCACTTTAGTCATAGAATAGTTAGTAAAATACGGTACATGAAAGTTACGTAAAAAATACGTACGGGTATTATACCTCGTCTCTAAGGTAAAGTTACGTTTAATAGTTTGTTAATAGTCATAAATATATAAAATTAATCATTTTAAAAATAAATAAATATATAAATAATAGTAAAGTTAACAATTTAATTCGTAAAATACGGATAATAAACGTGTTATACGAGTTTTATACGTGTTTAGTACGGGAGCCATCAAATGAACGGGGGAAAATGAAATGGCTTGACAATAATACGGATATGGAAGTTTTAAACGGATAAAGTACGTACGAGTACATATACGTGTATTAAACGGAGTATTACTAACTATAAGTTCTGTCTCTTATGTTGAATAGAGCAGCTCAGATAGACCAATTGCATTTCCATCCTAAATGCAAAGTAATAACTTTAACCCACCTATACTTTGCAGATGATCTTTTGATCTTTTCTGAAGGTTTTGGCTGGGCTCTTATCTGCATTAGAATTGTTTTGGACAAGTTTTACTCAATATCTGGCCTTATATGTAACCCGGACAAATGTGCAGTATACTTGGGAGGTACTTCTAGACAAGCAAGGGACCTAGCTCCTTCCCTTACTAGCTTTAAGGAAGGGCAATTACCTGTCAGATATTTAGGACTCCCTCTTATAGCGGGTAAACTTTCAACTAGAGAATGTGATTTGTTGATTGACAAGATAATCAGTAAGATACGTTCTTGGAGGTCTGGAAAGCTTTCTTATGATGGTCGTCTTGAGCTGATCTCATATGTTATCTACCCTATTCTCTCGTACTGGTTGGGAGTCTTTATTTTGCCCAAGAAAATTATTAAGAAAGTCTAGAAGTTCTATTAAGATTTTTTGTGGCATGGCAATGAATCAGGAAGGGCAAAGGTTGCTTGGGATTTGATCACTATCCCTAAAAAGGAAGGTGGCTTGGGACTTAAGGATCTGGTGATATGGAATATAGCCTCTGTTGGGAAACTACTATGGTTACTTTTCATGCAGGGTGGATTTTTTTGGGTTGCCTGGGCACATAAGTACAAAATAAAAGGGAACTCTTACTGGGAACTCAAAGCATCCCAGGAGGGCTCCTGGATCTGGAAAAAGCCACTTAAAATTTTATCTTGGTTTCAATTTCGTTTGATTCAAGAAGGAAGAGGATCTGTTTCATGGGAAGGTTGTTTGATGGAAAAGTACAAGATTAAGAAGATATGAGATTCATTAAGAACTAAGCATCCTATTACACCATGGTGGAAGATGCTATGGACAACGTATAACATCCCTAGTAACCGGTTTTTGGCTTGGCTCATTATGAAGGATAAAATTATTACACGAGACAAGTTGATTGCCTGGGGACGAACCATTGATCCAACCTGTGTACTATGTTCTGATGGAAATGACTCAAAGGCACATCTATTTTTTGATTTTGGAGGTGATGAGAGGACTGAATATGCCAAATAGCTCTTGCTAGGAAGATTGGTTATCTGTTGTTGTTAACATTGCTGGTTCCTTAGGGATTCAAAGCCAAGTTGTTGGATTTTGTTGGTGTTGGCTGCTTGCTGCCATATGGAGAGAGCGATGTAACAGATTTTTTAGGGGCAAAAAGATGACTATTGATCTTTTAATTACTACATTCATTGCAGATATAGGTACTTTGGAGTAGGAAGAGTTGATTTTGCTAGCTTGCTTGCTTTAGTGCAAATGTAGTGTCTTCAGGTCTTTGTAAAGAGGTAGAACTGTAGTTTTTTTTTGTGGTGCTTGTGCCCTCATGTACTTTTCGATTCTGGCTTTGTCCAGTGTGCTTAATGAGAAATTGCTAATTATCCGGGGGGGGGGGGGGAACACTCAAGAGTACCTATTTGCATTGCCACAAGGGTTGGAGAGGGATCTACAACATGAACTTTTTCTCTCTCTCTTGTCGATGATGATAAACTAGGTTGTGGATAGAGCGGGAACAACATGGAATGTATTTATGGTACTTAATATTTTGGTGTACGGGGTTGATTAAGCCATTTGTGTCATGTTGCAGGTTTAGATGGAGATGTGATAGGGTTGGCTGTAGGGATGACAATTACGACATGACCCGTTTTATCCGACCTGTTTGGCCTGTTTTGGGGCGGGGTGGGCATGGGTACTCTTATCGACCCGATCGGCCCTGACCCGCCCCATTCTCGACCCGTTCTTGCCTAAATTACATGTAATCTTAATCAAATTACTTAGAAATTTTCTTTTATTGCATCATAATTTAGCTATAATAAAGTTGTAAATTAGTGAAAACCTCAATTTTTCTAATAATTTAACTATATTTATCATAATATTGTTTGTTTTCTTGATCTTATAATGAAAATAACTAATATTTCTAATATTTTTCATATAAATTGCATACTCATTGGGTCGACTTGCCCCGACCTGTGACCCATGATAAATTACCCGACTTGTCACGGAGCGGGTCTGGGTAACAAGAAACCCGCCCCGGACCTGCCCATTTCCATTCCTAGTTGGCTGGGTCCGTGTTCATTTTCATATTTTCATGGGACATTTCTAATACTAATTTTGATGAGTTCACATGTTGATCAACCGTTAAATGGAAAGTGATGGATCGAATAATTATTTTGTTAAAAGTGAGAAGTTAAAATAGCATTTTGATAAATATTAAAGTTGAGTTACCTTTTTGATAGTATGACAAACTTAAGTGACCTTTTATATAATTGATCATTTTAGTTTTTTTGACTTGCACCGTCTTTTGTTTTGGCCTGTGATTGAAAATCGTCTGACGCACGAGAGCAAATCCCTAATTAGGAAAAACTCCCAAGATCACTCACTCACTCGTCACTCGCCCGCGCCCTCGTGGTTCGTCGTCAGTTCTTACCTAGCCGCTGCCTCGCCAGTATCTCGTCCGCCGTTCGGCATCAGGCGGAGAAGCCCTGGTCGAACTGCGTGGTGGTCCATCCTTTCATCTGTTTCGCGCTTCCATTGTCTGTGTACAGGGCCTCCGCCGTTCGTCTGTCGCCAGCCACCCTCTGTCCCAACCGCTTGAACTTCATCCGAAGGTAACTGGGATCGAACTTCCTTTCTTGGGTATTCAACGGCGGCTGACAAACAGTCGAGTACAATAGCCATATCAGAAAAGTTGCTTTGTTATTAGTTACATGGAAATACATTGGTCTCTACAGTAGTTCCTCAAGTCCATTTTCTTAAGGGCAGCCTGTTGGTGACTGATGCGGTAGTTCCTCTCAAATTACAGCTCTTTGGCGGAACCAATGGATATGATATACATCAATGGGTGTTAATTTCTGTTCTCGATGGTTATTGTACTGTTGTTTCATTATGGACCTTGCTGTTCTATTTAGCTCTGTACCAAGGGGAAGCATGGAGGGTAGGAACTGGGAATCCTGCATAATTGGGTGGGAGTTTGTGCAGTTAGGCTAAACTACTAGGTTATTCATGCATTAGAACCCTTTACATGCTACATCATGAAATATATGATTTCAGAGTCTCATAGAAGATGATGATCTTTAAGACATAGATTCTTGAGGATGTTTATGGAGTATCCCTTTAGGTAATTACTAAATCACAGAGGGAAAGGGATCAAGGAACTGCAGAGCCTAGAGCGTCAATCTGCATTCGTTCCTCGGGTGAATGTCTCTGGTGTCATGTCGGAAGACAGATACTTAACTTTGCTTTCAGTTTTCTTTATAAGAATGGCTTAGCCAAAGCCGTTTTCAAGCCACCATCAACTGCTTTGTCCTCCATTTATGGTAAATTTTTCCTTTTAATGCCAAGGCTGCATGTTAAAATGTTTTCTTCTCAATCAGCAGTGATCAATCCAAGTTCATGGAGATGGAACCAGAAACGCTGGTTACCTCCTCCGGTGGTCAAGATGGGAGCCACTCAGAAAGGCCTAGTGAGCCGAGCAGCTCGAGTACTGTTGCCCGGGTAAAGAAACTTTTGTTTAGGCAAGTGCTGGTGGGAATTAAGGACGGGCGCTTTTTCATGGGGACTTTCCACTGCATGGATAAGCAAGGCAACATAATCCTTCAAGATGCAGTTGAATACCGCAGCACCCGGCGCAACTCTCCTTCCCCGATGGAACAACGATGCCTCGGTTTGATTCTCATCCCTTTCTCCTGTCGAACATCTTGTCATGTAGAGTGCCCAATCGAGGAACAAATGTCTCTGATGACAATCCAGGAGTAGAGAGCATTCTTCGGTTTTACAATCTAGAATGGTATTACCTTACTTTTTCCTTAAAACTTGTTTACCATAAGAATGTTTTTCGACCATCAGTAATGAGGAAATAGATCCTATTCAGATCTAGTGTACATCCAGATAGTGTGGGATAAGCCGATTCTTTGTTATTGTGGGACAGATGAATAGAGAACTGTGGTGTGCTTTGGATGGATGTCAAATGTATGATTTAAGGATGAACAAGATGGATTTGAATAGTTACTTTCTGGGGCTATCAATCAGTCATTTGTGAACCAATCTCATTGAACGAAAACAAGTCATGTCTGTTACGGAACTGTCTTCCTTCTCCAGAATCCAGAAATGATGCAAATGATCAACTTAACAGTGATCATGATGCTGCCTGACGGTCAACTTCTAGGCTAATGGAAATTGGGCACCCAACACAAAGAAGGTGGTACAGGGAATGAACCCGGGCTGATCGATAGTGGCTGGCTGATGCTCTAGGTCCACAATGGAAGAGCACTCTGATTCTTCGGTGACCCTCTCGAAGGAGTACATTTATGACTTGGAAGTATGGTGTCCCTTTTCTGCTTCGGTGTGATCATTCTATGATAGCTCTCGAGTCTGGCTGCATTTGTACCGATGCCAATAAGGAAATTGAGCATGTTTATCTCTAATATTCAGAAACCCATGGGAACCCACACTGGAGGCTTGAGAGCTGCAAATACCATCTTAGGCACAGAGATGTATGACACAATAGAACTTCTCCAAAGCTCCATATGAATGCTCTGTAATGTACCAGACTCGCACGAGTTCAAAGGGATATCCAAACACACTTTCGTCGTGGCATTGGTGCTGAAGTCCGTACCCTTAGCGTTTTATCTAACGAGCCACCTGCCGGAGTCTGATCTTACAATGCCACCATGGCACAGCGGGAGAACATAGTTTATGCATTTGCAAATGGTGGGACAGCATTGTTGCTCATTATAAACAAGAGAATATTAACTATCAGATACACAGTGCTCAAACTTTGTAGAAGGCAACACTTCTCAAAAGATGCAACCAAATGGTCAGAACCTATCGGTGTAAGGCATTCCATAAACGATAAGGTATGGCACGCTCCTGACCACTGTGTCTATTGGTATCGCAAAATTGACCCCTGACGACTGTCCAGATCCTGCAGAAGGAACTCACATCAAACCATATTTTTGACACAGCTCGTTGGACATGATAATACGACACATATAATGATATTATGGATTCCAGTGATGTGCTCTTTCAACGGCCAGGCCTCTTCATCCTCACCTTTTCGAGTGAAAGTTGCTGTATTGACTCCAATGACATGTCCATGTGAATCAACCAATGGTCCACCTGAATTCCCTGTGCACAGGTGATCGAAGAATCCATTATGATCCATATAAGGAGTGTCCTCATATATCTTCAGCAACACTATATATAAAGTTCAGTTCCAGCCAATTTCAGGACACTAGCATCCATCAAATTACCTGCATTAATGGCTGCATCTGTCTGAATAGCCCCTTTGATGGCTCTCCCACTGGGTGATGGGATTTCCCTTCCTAGCCCGCTGACCACCTAAATCAAGTGAAAAGCAAATCTACTAATGGTCAAATACGATGAATCAATCCAACTCCTCTTAGCCACAGATTCAGATGCAAATGAGGTGATAACTGAACTACTGACGGCACTACTAGTACTAACCCCTGTTGTGAGAGTGTTCTCATATCCATAAGGATTGCCAATAGCAAAACAGCTCTGTCCCACTCGCAAGTCCTTGGAGGTACCAAAAACTGCTGGCTTCAGTTCGTACCCCTCTACATCAACCTGCAACAGACAAGCCAGCCCACATTCTAGCTTTGTTTCTACATTTCAAGAGCCACAGAAACTGCTGCCTTTGATCAGTGGTAGTTTGGTATGTATCTACCTTAAGAACAGCGAGATCGTATGCTGGATCGAACCCAACAATCTTCCCTTCTCTGGTCAAGCTGTTGCCAAGACCATCCACCAGAAATATCTTCAAGCAAAGCAACCAATTGTCTCAGGAGCTTTCTTCCAAGAGATGGACAACCCACACCAAAAGGTTTACAAACAGTAGTAATAGCCAAAAACACTGGAGACGACGACCTTACAGCGCTGCAATCCGCTTGTATCCGTAGCCAATTTAGCCACAACATGGTAATTAGTGACCTGCAAGCCAAATTCATCTCCAAACTTACTGATTGTTCTAATTGCCACATTCAACATTCGAAGGAACAATCAAGAATGGAGGACTGAGGGATTCCTACAATGTGACCAAATGTATCCCAAACGAAACCGGACCCAGTCCCTTCAAGTTTCGCATCATCATCGTCCTCCTCCACGCTCGTGGAGCTGCTGGGGGTTTTGGCTAATTCGAAATCCTTGATCGAAACAACTGATGGCGAAGTCATCTATGCAGAATTTTGGAAATGGGCAGAACTTAATCACACACAGAACCAACCAATCGGCAATCACCAAATTGAAATCAAAATGTTACCGGCTGAGAAAGATAGGGGTGTTATTAATAACCTCGAATAGGCGGACAGTTCGATCTTCTTCCTGTTCGAGCTCTTCCGCTTGGAGTTGTCCAGCAATGGCGGCGGAGACTGAAGCGGAACCGAGGGAGCCGAACCAAAAATCCGCCACCAATGCACTGGACCCGAGGAAGATGGCTCTTCGCCTTGCTATGGAAAGGCTTTTTGCATTCGGGAAAGAAGACGGAGGAGATGAAAGCACGGGATCGGTGGTTTCGAGGCGGGACGGCAGTGAGAGTGAGGGAAGGCCGTGCATGGGACTGGATGCCGCCATTGGAATGGAGAATGGGCAGAGGTCAGAGGAGGGGATTAGATTTTGGCGGTACAAAATTGAGGCGCGTTTTTGACTGTTGTCACTTTGGGCTAAAACCGCTGGCAGGCTCGTTGGGCCTAGAAAGCAAATGAATGAGAAGTTCGGGTATTCACAAGCAACACCATAAAAGTAGGACTCCCACTGCGGGACTAGTTACGGTAACAACACTCCTTGTGTTGTTATCGTAACAACACTAGTCTACAACCAATAGGAAGCTAGGGTTGTGATGATTTTTTATTAGATGAGTTAACCTAGTGTAAAATCAAAGCATGGGTATAATTGTCATTATGAAAAATATGTTTAAATAATAATAAAAAAATAAAAAATAAATAAATAAAACATTTTTTTTTTATTTTTGGCCCAAAATTTTGGTTGCCGGAATTCGGCCACCGGATGCCGGAATCTGGTCGCCGGTCACCGGAATATGCTTTTTGTCGCCGGAATATGCTATTTTGTCATCGGAATATGCCACCGCCGCCGGAATATGCTCACCGCCGCCGGAATATGCTTACCGGAATCGGAATCTAGTCATCGGGTGCGGATACTATAACAACACCTCCTTTGTTGTTATAGTAACAACAAGGGTAAAAGGGTCCATTAACACAATATCTAACAAATTAAAAAAAAAAACAATATTCAGTTGCAACTGATCTCCTTCCTCGCGTAGATCTTTCTTCCTCGTCGGCTCCTTCTCCTCCAATACTCTCCCCGGCGGCGGCGGCGGCCAATCTGAACCTTCGAACCTATCCACGTCATCTCGCAGGAACAGCAAACGCTTCGTCTGTGGGTCGCGGCAGCGGCGTTGCTGACGTGGAAGGCCTGGCGTTGCTGGAACCTCACGACCGGTGGCGACTTTCCCGCTGGTGACCGAGGAGGGGTTCCGCGCCAGCTGGTCGAAGTGGCCTGCGACGACGGTCTTGTAATCTTGGATGACGAAATCCCCCACTTCGACTTGATGGGATTGACGGCGGCGATGGTTTTCAGAATCTCGTCAAGCAACTGAGTGTTTTCAGAATCTCGTTAAAGAACCAAACAATAAAAGATTGGAGGAAGAAATTGATCACCTCGATTAAGGAGTCGAGTTCGGCCTCGACTACGGCGTAGAGACGAGCGAAAGCATCATCGCCGGAGACGCTGAGTTTAGCTTGCTTATCCACATCGTACGCATCGAACTTCCGGCAAATCCAGTCTACTCTAGTTATCGAATCGATCACTAGGTAATAATAGTAATGACAGCAGAAAGAGTGCAGAATTACAACAACAAGGAGATGGAGAAAGAGGGCTTCCATTAGCTTCCCTTTCTACTACTACTTCTTCTCTTCACCACCATTACCATCATCGTCATCATCACCACATTCTTCTTCTGCTTCTTCTTCTTCTTCCACTTACCTTGTTTTGGCTACGGCTTCTGATTCTGTCCTCACCATTCAGGTTCCTTATAACCTCTTACCTATACATATAAGCTATTCTATCAATCTAGTAGACTAATATTCATCATCTTCATAGAGTTGCTTATTAACCGACTCCTTAATCGAGGTGCTTCGGCTGCGCTGCGTCGTATGGCGGGGGACGGCCATCTGATCGCGAGGGGGGTGAAATCGGAGAGGCGGCTGCGGGCGTGGCGGTGGGGACCTGGAAGGGAGGGCGACGACGGCGGAGATGATGAGGAGGAGGAAGAAGAAGAGGAAGGCCGTGAAGAAGAGCTTGATGAGCGTCTTAAGCATCAAATTGAAACCTTCAGTATGTTTGTTGGGTACTTTTAGGCTCTGAAAGTGAGATGGCCAGATCTGTTAAGAAAAGAAGTGAAAAAGTTGGGGATAATTGAACATAAAGGAAAGCCAATGCTAGGAATTGTTAACTATTGTTTAAAGTGTTTAAGAATGGTTTTTAATGAAGTCTAACTGAAGCAAAAAGCAAGCCATAAATATTTGATATACACACCAAAATTTTTCTAAAACATACAAGAAAGCTCACAAAGCAAACCACAAATATTTCATGTGCAGACCACAAACATGGTAAACAAACCACAAAATGCATACCGGAAACCTCTCTATGCATACCTCAAATTCCCTAAAACAAACCAGAAACCCCACAAACCAAACCACAAATATTTTGAAAGCACACCAGAAACCTCATAACGCAAACCACAAACACCGTAAAGCAAACCACAAAAAAGCAAACCAAAAACCTCCTAGTGCAGATCACAAATCCATTAAAACAAACCAGAAACCTCACAAATCAAAACATAAATTTTTCGAAAGCACACCATAAACTTCTTAATGCAAACCGGTAACCTCCTAATGCATACCACAAATCTCATAAAACAAACCACAAACCTCACAAAGCAAACCACAACATTTGCGAAAGCACACCAGAAACCTCATAATGCAACCCACAAGCACGGTAAAACAAACCACAAAAACAAACCAGAAACCTTCTAATGCAATCCACAATTATATTAAAACAAACCAGAAACCTCACAATACAAACCACAAACACGATAAAGCAAACCAGAAACTTCTTAATGCAAACCACAAACACGATAAAGCAAACCACAAAAGGCATACAAAAATATGAGAAACCAAACCATAAATCTCACAATGCAGACCATAACATCGGTGGTCGTTAACGAAAACCGTTGACCAAACTCCGATGACCGTCATTGACCGGATTCCGGCGCCGATAGGCATATTCCGGCCCCGATGACTAGATTCCGACGCCGGTAAGCATATTCCGGCGGCAAAAAGCATATTCCGGTGACCGCCGACCAAAATTTTGGGCTGAAAATAAAAAATAATTTTTTATTTTTTATTTTTTATCTAAACAGATTTTTCATAATGACAATTATACCCCTGGTTTGATTTTACACTAGGTCAACTCATTTAATAAAAAGTCATTACAACTCTAGTTTCCTATTGGTTGGAGACTAGTGTTGTTACAATAACAACAAATATAGTGTTGTCACACTATCTACTCCCCTAGTCATCGGGGCCGGAATATGCCTATCGGCGTCGGAATCTGCTGACTGACGGTCATCGGAGTTCGGTCAACGAACTTCGTTGACCGGTCAATAGTCTTCATTGACCGGTCAACGGCCAACGACCACAGGTTGTTATGGTCTGCATTGTGAGATATATGGTTTGGTTTCTCATATTTTTGTATGCCTTTTGTGGTTTGCTTTATCGTGTTTGTGGTTTGTATTAAGAAGTTTCTGGTTTGCTTTATCGTGTTTGTGGTTTGCATTGAGAAGTTTCTGGTTTGCTTTCAAAAACTTTGTGGTTTGCATTGTGAGGTTTTTGGTTTGTTTTAATATATTTGTGGTCTGCATTAGGACGTTTATGGTTTGCTTTTTTGTGGTTTGGTTTACTGTATTTGTGGTTTGCATTATGAGGTTTCTGGTGTGCTTTCGCAAATGTTGTGGTTTGCATTGTGAGGTTTCTGGTTTGTTTTATGAGATTTGTGGTATGCATTCGGAGGTTTCTGGTTTGCATTAAGAAGTTTCTGGTGTGCTTTCGAAACTTTTGTGGTTTGCTTTGCGAGGTTTCTGGTTTGTTTTAATATATTTGTGGTATGCATTATGACGTTTTTGGTTTGCATTACCGTGTTTGTGGTTTGCATTAAGGGGTTTTTGGTGTGCTTTGCAAAATATTGATGGTTTGCTTTGTGGGGTTTCTGATATGTTTTAGCGAATTTCTGGAAATAATTTAGCTTCCTGAATCGTCACTAATCATCAAATGGGTAATAAATAATCTTAGATCACTCGAAAAGATTATGCAAATCGTTCAATACAAAGACCAACCGGTAGCTTGCCCTGTAGCTTGTTCAATCTCCTGCAACCCAACAAAAGTTTTTGCTCTTTATAATCCACATGTAGTAAATCAATTAGAATTTGGGAGGCAAGGCAAAGGGGACGAATGAAACTTAACAAGAATCTCAAAGAGTGCAAATTGGCCAGAGAAGATGGGATTTGGCCAGTAAAGCGGTTACTGTAAAGATCCAAACTAACGAGTGCTCAGTGGTGGTGAGGCGGCGGAGGTTGCGCCAGCGCTCGCCGTAGTTGCAGGTGCCGATCTATTGCATGCATTATTATCATCCTCATTCACCAACAATTATATCAATGGGTTTCCTTCCAGCCAATCAAATCACAATGCTCATAGGAAAAGCATGTTGTTATCATTCTCAAATCTCAAGTCATGGTCCAAATCGGAAACCACACCACCACCATCTCCCAAGCTGCAAGTCTCCTCCAAGTTCATATCAACATCCCACAAGAAACCAAACTGATCCTCGATGCTGCTAGGCTTGGAGCTGATCTCACTTTGATTGTTTTGCAGCTGGTTATTAGGGTTCGCGAGCTTCGTTGTCCTGTCTTGCAGGAGATTCAACAGCGATCCGGCGGCATCGGAGCTTATACATCGGAGCTCGGATGGTGGTGTGGGGCCGCCGTGGTGGTGCTTGACGAGAGTGATGTGACTTGATGATATCAGCCGGTGTCGGCGGTAGGCAGCTGGGTGGAGACCTGGCCGGCGCCGCCGTTGTGGTGGTGGTGGTGAGGAGGAGTTAATAAAGGAGGAGAAGTGGTTGTCGAGGGCGAAGTCTATATCCCCGAACCGGTCCATCATGTAGGCTTGAGCATCGGCCGCCGCTTTCCCTTCCAGTCCAGCCAACTGAGATTGGTTGCAGACTCCTCGTCGTCGCAGCCGAAGCATCCAGTCCACCGCAGCCGGAGCAGCCCTCCGTTGTGGGGGAGGAGGAATCAAGAACGCGCGGGCGTGAGGAGAAGATCGAGAGTGATAGAAATTGGGATATCTTAATTTAATTTTTATTTTATTAGATATATGAGTATATTTACCCTTATACCCTTAATGAATCCTGTTGTTAGTATAACAACACTTAAGGTGTTGTTATACTATCCGGACCCCTCCCAGGCTCCCATTGCCATTACTTGTCTCAAATGCAACAAACCAAGATGTTCATAAATAACAGAAGGGCAACTAGGGATGGCAATTGGTCGGGTCGAGTGCGGATAGTGCATATCCGTTACCTTATCTAAATTAGTTTGAGTTTTAGCTATACTCATACTCACATAAGAAACGGGTAGGAAATCAAAACCATGTCCATAC